TCTTTTTCTACGTCAATCGTCCAATCGTCTTCGTTTCCCACAACTGCACGTGACCTTTCGGGTCTTCTATCAAACTTCCTAATACGGCGTCAATGTCTTCGTCTTTAGGTTTTTCCTCCAAGGCCAAATACAAATAATCATCGACTGGATGACTACGACCACTTGACGAAATTCCAATTCCCAGGCAACTGTGATATTTTTGACTTGGATGATCCGTTTCACAGCCGATGCAATTTGAATGTTGTTGATTTTGGATGGCTGGTAGATAATAATTCTCGACTCTTAATTTTAACCACCTCCGTCTAATTTTCGGCTTGAGTGAATCCATAGGGTAAGGTATTATCAGGTTCTCCTCTCGTGTTGAAATGAACCATTCGTTTGGTGTAAACAGCCTTATATAATTTCTGCTCTGGACGAGTCCATAATGTTCTGTCACGTGATCGGACTATTTTATGTGGGTTATCTATAGGTATACTGATGTTTTCTTCCAAATGTCGTACCATGTTTTTTACCGTCTCAAAATTAAGTTGTTGCATTCCTCGGTAGTTCAATGTAAATCCTCTTACTTTACAGACTGTCTGACCGTTGCTCAGTTGGTAAGCGTAATTTTTAGGCCCTCCAGCTACGAATTGCGTGATGTGTACATTTTCTGGTAACTCGTTTTTCCATTCTCCCAACGACGAACCTTCGGTTGGATTCCATTGTAGTGGTAGATGTCTGTAGATGATACTGTCAGTGTCAAAGTAACACACTCTGTTTCCTAAGGGTTCCAATACACTGTATAGTAAACGTGCTTGGGCTGTCACGAAAGCAGCAATCACTACATTGGTGATAGCGCATGGTTGAACGTGTTGTTCTTTCTTCAATTTTTCGATCATGACCATGTTATCATTGACAATTTGAACATCTTTGACTGTTTCTGTGGAATCGTTCATCAGCTGAAAATATTCTGAAGGATCCGTGATGTATTCTGTTTGACTAAAGTTGTCTCTTTGTCCAAATTTTCCCCAAAGTGTGTTTAGTATCGATTTCGAAAACGCTCGTTTGCCTTTATTCGGTATAATTTGGTCCGGATCAAGTGTTATTCCTTCTTTTCTGTAAACCTCTTCTATAAAATGACGTTTCTCTTCATCTGTGTGGCAGATGTCTGGGTATCCACTGCTTTCCATTTTCATTTTTAGGTAACGGTTGATATAATCAGTGAATAATCCACCCGTCTTGGTGGCAGGATCATACTGGCTCCATTGATTCCAGTGCCATACTTCGTAGATTTCCAGAATTTTGTAACCCATCCCCACGGCTTTCTTCAATTCTAAGGTGACAAACGTGCCTACCCAAGCTCTTTCTTTCTCAATGTGATGACACTCCTGATACACGGCAACATCGTCTTGTTTCATGTGATCTTGTACACATGTTCGACAAAGAGGAAAAGTGAGTTTTCCATTTCTGAATGGCAAGACTGGATGGTAGAGGTTT